GAGTATAATATTACATCCTTTTATTATTATATGTTCTAATCTTTTCTCTGTAATTTAGATTTAAGAATATATTTATACATAATGTGCTTCGTGTATTAATTATACAAACAGAAAGTTAAAAAGCGCGAATTAATGAGAAATGATGTATGCTCAGAAGAAATTTCTCCTTTTATGTCTATGTAATGCGTACAATGCCATAGACATATGTGACATATGTCAGGACTTTCCAGCATTATCTGTATATTAATGAGCGGTCCATATCACGAAAAAAATCGCTCTATTTACAAATATTATACTATCGTTTATGTAGTGAAACAGAAAGAGCATTGTTGTAACGACTTGAGCTCAATGACATTAAGTGTGACTGCGCGTTTGTTAAAAGGGAACTGTTGTCAAGTACTTCAATCTACTAAAGAAATCAGTGTATTTGTATAGAATTATTGCATCGGGCTTAAGAGTTTTATTTACTCTATAAATATTATACAATATGTATGTGTATGTATGTATGTGTATATATATATTTATATATAAATATATATACACATATATGTACAAAGTGTAACAGAAATTATATATGAATTAATAATGAAAATTTACGTAACGTAGAGCGGGTATTTAAGTTATTACTTTTAATTCTTAATTTATTAACTAACTTGTTAATTAAATTTTGATGAAATTTCCAAAAAAACATTGTCTTAAAATACTGCTGATTCATATCTTTTTTTGGAATGTCCTACATATATATACGTAATATATTATTATTTATAATATATTATAATATACTATATTAAAAATGATTAAATGTGAAAAAAAATTTTATTAGATAAGGTTATTAAAAGATATAATATTAGATTGTGGTAAAAAGAGCTGTGTACGTTGACAGATAGCGGATTGTTCTCTCAAAATATTGTGCCAACAATTTCATGTTTTTGCTGAAGTAAAGTGATTTACAATAGTGACTTAGTTAATAATTTATACGCACTTTATCTGGTCTTGTTTCTGTGGGACCAAGGAACTTTTTACAGGAGATATAAAACGTTTCTACTTTTCATTATCTTTACAGGAAAATAACGTCAAATGATTGCCAAATATGAAAAAAAAAGTTGAAATTGAGAATTATGCATAATCTCATATTCTTTTGTAAGAAAATTTATGTATACCTACATTTATAACTTGATAATTTAATTCCTATATTGATTAATGAATATCTTTCTATGTTACACACACATGCCAAACTATTATTACCGATCTTCCACGACCGGCTGTCTGTTAACGGGGGCATGGTGCAATTGTAAGCGCAAGAAAGCAAAGTCCAAAATTAAGATATAGAGGCTTGGTGGTAATTTTAATCAAAACATAGGAGTGTGTATGTGTGTGTGTGTGTGTGTGTGTGTGTGTGTGTGTGTGTGTGTGTGTGTGTGTGTGTGTGTGTGTGTGTGTGTGTGTGTGTGGTGAGAGTGCAGTTAACTGTGTAAATCGTATATTGTCATAACTTATTCGCCAAAACCGTGTCAAACAGATTATTTCTATGCAACGTATGTACATGTACATATATGTATGTACAATGAGATTCTGAAATAGGTCATCAAATTTTGTAGTTATTCTTGGACCACTTAAAATCAATTTTTTCGGCAGAAATGTCTCATTACTATCATCATTTCAGATGATAGTAATTCTTGATTTATTAGATCTAGAAGCTTTTACGTGAAAGCTTTTAGATCTAACAAAAAGGATTTATTAGGTAAGATTGTAAGAAGCTTTTTCTAAATTAGACTTCAAGGACGAGAGATGGAAATAGATGAAACTCTACTCAGATTAATTTAAAATATAATTTAATTTAATGGAATTTAAATTTTCCTAAGTTTTACATCTAATAATTTACATTTCTTACAAAAAAGAAATGTAATGAGTAGTATATATTAATTTAATTAAATATGTTTTAAAGAAAATTTAATTTCTAATTTATTAAAGAGAGAATGTGTCACAAAATTTGAGAATTTATTTTAGAAGTATTCTGTATACAGAGTGAATCAATGCTTGCATCTGAAACATATCCTTGTTATCTTCAAAGATGTACGATAACTTTTCTATTTTTTATTTTATTTTACTTTTTCAAAGCGATAAGAAAAAACTTAAATAAAAAATTGATGCGCCACTGAAGAATTAAAATAGCTTTCATATGCTATAAAAAATATAATAAGAACAATTTCAATCTTAAAAATTCTCGTTTTTTTTCGGAGACGGTAAAATTATTTCAGATGCAAATATTTAGAAAAAATGAATCACTTTATATACATTTATACTTTGGCTGCGTTCGGAAACGTCACTTGGATGTCTCCGATGCCTCGGATTCATCATCTGTCCTTGTTTAACATTAAATGTTAAACAAAGACAGATAATGAATTCGAGACATCGGAGGCATCCTGGTAACGTTTTCGAACGCAGCCTTTATATACACACTCGCATATGTGTGCGTAAATATATTTTAAAAGAAATATACATATAATTTATTATAATGATTGTATAAATAAAGTATGTAAACTAAATTGCAGTAATGCTACGTTAATTATCACCTATGGAAGATTGTGAAATGTAAAATTTGTAAATAAGCCTATTTGAAAATATAAATAGTGAATCATTTCTCTATTGAGTTATGAATTTTCCTAAGATTTTAAAAGAAAGATCCAATAATAAAGTGTGTTGAAATATTATTGTAGTTTCAGTGAACCAAATAAATACAAATCTCTTAGATTCGACATACCCACTCCAATATGATTTATATTTGTTATTTTGTATTACTCATTTTAAATTTCTATCTTTCTGATACATTTTTATACAAAATGCTTGCATAAACAATTCTAGAATATTATTAGAAATACAAAGTAATCAGACACATAATACAGGGTGTCCCATTTTAAAACTTCCACGCGATTATCTCACAAAGAAGGCGTTTATCGAAAAAATGTTTCAGGGATCAAAGGGGGTCAACCAGTGGTGACCTTGTCCTTGACCTTGGGGTCAAGTTTAAAGGTCATTTCAAGGTCAAATCGAGATTTTTAAATGGAAACCTCAATTTCTTTCTCCGGAAATGAAAAGAGCGGAAAATTTCACGTTCAGATATGTGGTCATGCGAGGGCCAAAATGTCCTCTAACATTCATTCCAAGGTCAAACATTACTGAACCCAAACATTACTGTCTACACACTCCACTGTCCACATATGTTATGATTTATTTGGAATACAACTATGTATAATAGAAACATTGCACGAATAACTAATTCATTTTTTAATTTGATTTTAAATTTCGTGCACTATTGGACCCAAGAATCGCTAAACGCATGCGCATTAAGTCACAGAGCATGAAAAGGCATACTCATAGCGCTTATATCGAGTCGGTATGACAGATTTCCTAACCTGAACGGTCGTGAACTTTAACGCTAAATATCTCGGTTCGCTGGGCAGAGCTTATTTCTACCAGATTCGTTCGTTTCATGCAAAAACGCATCGAATGAGCCTAATTTCATTAAAATCGGTGAGGTCGGCCGTCATCTCCGTAATTACCATACTTTTTTTACATCTATTCACTAATTATATTAACGACTCGGTGTCGGTATTGTAGATATAATGGTAAGGTAGAAAGTGTAATGCGTGTTCTACAATGGGCAGTAACAGTAGTGGATTAAGGAGTAGACGCAGAAATCAACCAATCATAATCGAATGTGAGAAAGATAATCAACTACGATTAGTCGATTTCTGCACCTACTCCTTAATTCATTACTGCTACTGCCCATTGTAGACCATGCATTAACTGGTTAGATGTTTTCTGTAACCTCCTCGCAGATCGTATTCTTTTAGTAACAGAAGCAATATTTCGAGATCCTCCGACAATTTGCGCGCTGCCACCTGCTCTTTTTTCCAGAATATACGTTCTTAATAACTTCGATTTCTCCGAGTTTTATGAGTCGTGTCTTTCACTTGGGATTAGAATCGTATTCTCGAAAAATATCGCATACGAAATGTACAAAAATAATCTACGTTTTGTGTGTGTGTGTGGTTATTATATTATTTAAATTTATACTTATTTTAATACTTTTCATGAAGTTGAAATATAGTGAATTTTATTGAAATATGTGCATTTATCATTTATTATAAGACATATGTAATATTTCCTGTCATGTGTAAAACGAATATAAACGAATAATATAACATACATGATGCTTATTGTAGATGAGCAAGTTTTTTTTGGATATCACATTTAAAAAATATGCAGGATTTATAAAAATACGTTTATTTTTTCCATTACAAACTTTCCGATTAATGTTATAATTAATGTTATCATTAAATTTTATTAGAGATAAAAAATTGAGTATTTTTTTGTGAATGAATACTTTATCAAATTTATGCAGAGATAGTGGAAAGAATAGCGAATAAATAAACAAAATTTGTTTTCTTATAATATTAATTATACCTATATAATGTATTATCATCTAATCAACATTAACATTTAGTCATCAAAACTAAGTATACATTAGCATAAATTACTAAGCAACTACATTCATATAACTTTTATGATATGATTATAAATATAAGATGTTCATATCGTTGTATGTTACTCTTGCACATATTTTACATCCGCTCTGCCTTTCTGTTATTACTTCATATATATTAATTTTTCTGTTCTAATGTGACTCATAGGACAGAATTCATAAACGTTGCTCAAAATTCGACATTGTCTTAAACGAGTGCTTGAGATGTCATGAATCAATCAGAGAGCCGTATTAGTATTCTAAAGACATTGCTTGAGACGATCTTGAGATTAAGAACTATGGATACCGGCCTTTGTCACAAAACAAAAATAATTCTTGTAAAAATTTTTTTCAATTCTTTTCTGAATTTTGCATATACTTTTTAATATTATCAAAATATATCAAATAAAATCATTATTCTATAAAATTAATTATTTTATCTGACTGCAATAAAGTTTTATTTTCCTTTGCGTTCTGTCTTGCACATGATATAAATTCTATGCAGTATATTATGTTACATAAGATTATAAGATATAAATTATTAAAGAGCTTGTATATACTTATTGGACTTGCATCTTAAAACTTATGGCAATTTTGCGCACTTTCTCTTGTCGACACTATATGTGCATATTTCAAAATATAAATTTGATGATCATTTTTCATAATTACATTTAAAAAATTAAATTTCAATTTAATTAATCTAAAATTATTCCTCTGTATTAAAGATCTATGAGATTAACTTCCCTTGTTATTGTATTCAATGTAGGCGCAACCGACGTTGTGAACGAACGTACATGAGATCTGAAGCTGGTAGCAGGTTCCCAAGCTTCATCTCGCACTACACCCTGATTTCTGGGATACATGAGCAGTGGGTCCTTCCCTGTCTTTTTGCACAATCTTTCTTGAAGCATGATTAGGCGAGATCTCCAGTATTCATAGCTTGCTTGCTTAAGTGCTTTTAGCCACTGCTCCACTTGAGACTCTGATCGACCACTCAATATATGTCGCTTCTCTGGCTCATCACGAAACGAGATGCTGAACGCAAATGCACCCTCCGATGAATTGTCTATATTAATGTTGTAATTTTCTAGAACGATGACCCCAGCAGGTTGCCTCCTATCGATATGTCCCAAATCATTGATATTGAAGTAAAATAATAAATTGTACCGCAGCTTGAACCACTTCTCTTTGAATACTGGAAGCAAATATAAAAGTAAATATCAAATACATATTAATCTCTCATTTACTCTAATTATCTAGAATTGTGAATACACATCTTTAATTGTTTTCTTCAACTGATACTAATTTCTTGCAAAACTTTGAGATGTGCTATTAAGAGTTAAGGTTAGAAAACAACTTTATAATCTAATTAGTTTACTATAAATAATATATTAAATATAAATGTTATACAGATTAGATTACTGATGTATATATATAATATATTATATAAATGTCTTTCTTTGTTTTGATCCAGAAAGATTCACTCCAAGTATTTCATAAGTAGTATTATCTTACACGTTAAAACTCTCTCACGAGTTTTATTTACAATCGTTTCATTCCTTCTAAATTATCAATCACAATTGCCTCGCAAATGGCAATAATGATTGAAAAAATCATCTAAGTCTAAAATCAGTAAGTAAACCAAAGAAAGATAATGACGCAATAGCAGCATACAATATTAATTTATGTATGTACAATTTAATCTCGTAGAATAATTATAAATTACATAATCGAATATCTCTACACACAAACAAAGTTTATCAAGTGACAGCCAGTGAGGTATGACAGAAGACAGGTTAAGATCGTCGTGTTACGTAAAACTCACTCAATAATATTCGCATCTCGCACTAAACTAACCTGAGTTATGGGCTCGTTTGTGGTTTAGACGTCCCTCCAGATCCGCAGGTCCAAAGCTCGCTTCCGCGAGCTCTTTGTCATTGAATCTCATGTTCGACTAGGACTTGGACGACGTTGTCGTGTTGTACGTGTCACGAACGGTCACAGGGGTTGTCGCGCCGCCCTGACGAAATATTCCATCTTCAATTCGTCGATCACATTAATCGCGGCATATCAAGCGCTGCGAGGCTCGCCTCCCACGTTAATCAATCGACATGGGCCGATAGACGCGCTTTCTCGCGTTCCTCCCCTCGTCTTCGCACGATTGCTTTCGCTCCTGCGTCGTTTGATATAGTTTGATAATCGCCAGGAAAAAATAATCCTCGACATGATAAGCGCCTATCGGCTTATCGCGCGATCTCATGGCCCGTCTACAATATACGTAGTAAGCTTGGTTTAAGAAGAGTAAGAAATTGACCAGTCCGTTAGATAGATAAAGACGAACAATCAATCTGTCAGCGCTTGTTGAACAAACGATTGTTCGTCTTTGTCCATCTAACGGATCGAAAATCGTGGATATAGCGAAAAATACAATAAAAAAAATCGTGGACACTACCGACGAGATCGTGGACATTGGCCACGTAGTTCATGTCCACGTTTTGTGGACATAGAGACGCTTCAAAATAAGGTTGCAACTAAATCCCAGGCATGACCGCTCTCATGATTCCTGCGCATTGGACGCGGAAACGTTTGCAATTTGCAACGTCGCATTTTACCGCGCGGTAAGCTTTTCCGCGTCCAGTGTGCAGGAGCCATCAGGCTTCTCTCTGCTGCCACATTCGACACGATTGATCGATTTTTCTGTCCGTTAGATTATCATTTTTCGAGATTCAGCTGTTTCCTCTTGATGTTCTCGTTCTCGAGATCTCTCGGCTGTTATTGGTCGATTTGTTTTCTGTTTACATTTTCCTGCGAATCCTTGATCGTTTTCGCGCGCAAAAATTGCGATTTAAAGATTTTGTCGGCAATATGTACAATGGGCACGAATATCTGTCGTGTATCAAAATCGTGAGTAATCTCACAGATCTTGGTTTGTGGCTTTGTAAAATAAAGTACCAAATAATTGATTTTTTGACTATGCGAAAGTGATGCCTATAAATATTTTCGCCTCTCAGAATACCTCAAAACAAGCCGCGATGAAGAATACGCACGAAAAGGCAGAACTGATGGATCTAATAGCGGAGCACCGTAATTTAATCTTAACGGCTAATAAGGTTTTTGGAGAAGACAAATGGAGCCATACTGTTGTGAACCAAACATTAGGTAAGTACACTTATTATTATTATTATAGTTGAAGAAATTCGCATAAGTGTGACTAACTCTGTCAGATTTATAAAAATGAGCTCGAATTTGTTGTAGATTTTGTCGAAATAATTGGTGCCAAATGTTGTACTGGCTGCGTCAGCTTTGTCAGGGTCCAGCTTGATAATGGAAATTTTCATGAAGATATTGGTTATTACAGTGCAGAGGAATCCACAAAAGGCTTGTCGATACACAATGCTAGAGTTGTACGTGTCAGTCAATTGGAGAACAAAGAAGCAGAAATATTTTATATTTGGTTAAACAATAATTTCTTTATGTTCAGGGTTCTGCTGCAAATGCATTAAGAAGAGTCTTGTTGTCATTTGGAGATAAAATTGAAAAGGAATTGCAACAGCTACAAAAACAGATTGATCCTGAACGAGCTAATAACATACAAAAGAGTATGATACAATCGGACGAACAGATTCCAGATAAATCAAATGTTTCAATTAAAGCACCTATTTCTCATGTGCAGCAAACAGAACTTACAAGTGAACCTGAACCAAATAAAAATACAAACCAATTAAAAGGTTTGTGAGAAATAAGTATATAAAGAAAAAAATATTAGATCTGAGAATGACATAAATATCTTTTATTATAGAAAGTTTCTAAGAAAGCATCTCTTTAAAAGATTTTACACTGTTCTATTTTTTTCATTCTTAATTTTTCCATTCTGTATAAAATAACAGTATCTTATATCTCTTGATTTTATAAAATGTTATGTGATACATTTTGATTGCAATATAGAGATTAAGTTAAGAATACTTTTCTCTTATTAAAAAAGTTAATTCTAAATAGCTTAAAAACTTTGAAATTAAAAAGTTTTGAAGAATGAGTTGTATTATAATTAGTACATCGTTCTCAGCTTATCCATTATAATCATAGTGCAATATGTATGTAATATTGAATTGTCACACATCTAGCTTCTTCTCTAGAATCTACTATAAATATTACAACTGAGATTAATCAATCGTCATCTACAAACGTTCAGACTGTCGAGCCCTCATTGAAAAAAAAGAATTTAATTGAAGAGAAGCTAAGACAAGGTAACATCGAAAATTTAGTATTCATTGAATCATTTCTATGCAGAAATATCTAATTTTTAAACACTGATTGTCTAGAGAGGAAAAGGAAACAAATGGAAAAGCAGATGGAATTTAAAAAGCGTATGTTGGAAAAAGAAGGGTTAGTGTTTACCAATGACAACAAACCTAATCCCAAATATTAGGATATTGGAAATTGCATATAGATTTTACATTCAGCATACTATATTTAGAAATATTTATACTTAGTATACTTAGTATATATAAAAATATATAGTATATTTAGCATATGTAGTATATATAGAAATATTAATTCTTGTTGATGAGATCACATGATATTCTTTATACTCGTGTATACATGCTATTTTTTTAGTAATATACAAATAAAATATTTGTTTTAAATAAATATTGTAACCTATAAATAAAAATATTAAATAAAATATTTTTAATGCTTTTAATTAGAATCGCGCTGTAGTGCAACGTAAATTGTACGTGTATCACTTAAAAGAGAGGTTAGAAGTCTCACGTTGAACACAAATATTTCAGAAGCTTGGAGTTGTATACCCGAAATATATTTCAAATTAGTCTTCCTGTGTTTATTTTTGTATTCGTCCGTTATACATAAAGTAATGATATTAATACCCTGAAAATTACTTAAAATTCAGATTTAATCAACACTGAGTGAGATAAACGAGAAGATTGAATTACATGTGTTATCCACGTGATGCGATCGATTTGCTAAAAAATCAAGATATACTTTTGATTCGTATATTTTTCAATGAAGATTTTGTTCAAATAAACAAAGACCAAATAAATAGCAAACAACACTAAGAATAACAAGAATTGTGGATTGCTTCACATATTTTTTTCGTTTATACCTTGTGCATGTGTCAATTTAATGAATAATGGATCGATACTTTGAAAGTTACGAAGAACTTGATGTAAATAAAATGCATATATAATCATTATTATATATATTATGTTGATTACATTGAATTTTATTTGTAGATCCATCAATTAATGCTAAGTGACAAAACACGTGTCTTGGCATATAAAACTGCCATTTTTAATTCTAAAGAGAAATTTCAAGACAAAATAGTAATGGATATTGGTGCTGGCTCAGGTATTCTTGTATGTAAGGTATATATAATATGTATAATATTACATACTTTGCTCATATATATTTTTTTACAGGTATATTATCAATTTTTTGTGCACAAGTTGGCGCAAAGAAAGTTTACGCAGTGGAAGCAAGTACTCTGACAAACAGTATCAAGCAAGTGTCGATTGAAAATAATATGCAGGACCAAATTAAAGTGATTCACAGTAAAGTAGAGGACATCCCTCCAGACAGTTTGGAGAAAGTAGATGTAATTGTGTCAGAATGGATGGGTTTTTATTTGGTACACGAAGGAATGTTAGATTCTATATTATTCGCTAGGGATAACTTTTTACACGAGGATGGTCTGTTATTCCCATCCATTGCAAAATTATATGCTTCGCCATGTCAATTACCTTCCATGTACGATTTTTGGAATGATGTATGCGGAGTCAGTATGAGGTAATTGTATTATTTTAGAACAAAAGTAAGATATTGCCGTTTGGAAAAGAATTCATTTCATTGTTTCTTTTTTCAATATCACGAGCACTGTATATTTATTCTGCAGTACTCTTTTTCTCAGAAAACTTTTAGAATGAATACTCTAAAGAATGAAATCTCCCTCTGAAAGATTGAAAATTGAGCTACTTTTTCGAGACTGGCTCAATTTTTATTCTTTATAGAGTGAGATTCTAGTCCAAAAAATTTAGAGTTTGTTCAATTTTTATTTAGTTGTATTGGAAAGGAGTACAGAAAAGCTAAATCTTTAAAGCCAGAAATCCTCCTTCTAAATCAAGATGATATTTTGGCAGAAGGTAAATTGCTTGCTTGGCTGGATTTGAAGTGCATCTCTGTGAAAGAGATAGATGTACTAGGTGGACAGGACTATGTATCGGTATGCAAAAAGGATGGGAAGTTCCAAGGGATATGCATTTGGTTTGCAGTCGAATTTCCAGACGGTTCGGAACTATCTACGGGGCCTTATGACGAAACGACGCATTGGAAGCAAACCGCAATGGTTTTGCCCGAAGATATGGAAGTGATAAGCAACGAACCTATTGCTTTCAAATTCGAATTGAAAAGAGACGCGTCACATCCAAGGCGTTACAATATGGAATTAAGTTTGTTGGATGCAGAGAAAGTGGAGCACGACATTCCCTGCAATTGTCACATGACGAAATGTATAGTGACCAAAAAGTACATTGATGACTTGGATGAAAGTGAATCAGACCCAGAAAAAAATGACTTGTAGTCTAATATGAAATATTATATTTTTTCACTAAAATATAATCTAAATGGAAAATTTATTTCTAATTTTAATTTTTCAGAATTTTTTTAGAATTTATATATAATTTTATAATTTTTTAGAAAATTTCTCAGACTTTATATTAGAACACTTTTTTCAGAAGTACTTGGAAAGTCTAGTGTTCGTTTCTACCAATGTAGATTAAAACTTTAATCTTGATTTAACTTACTTTTTATCTTTTTCTAGTTCTAAGACTTATTAAGCTAAGATTAAAGTTATCACAAAATCTGTGTTGGTAGAAATGGATATAAATCTTTTTTAGAATTTTTAATGTATGTAAATTTTGAAATAAATAAGATTTCCAAGATTTTT